GCAGATTGCCTCCTGTAGCCCCCTCATCAAGTGCGGAAAGGAATGAGTCGACCAAAAAAAAAAAAAAAAAACTTTCTCCGTTCACTCAAATTGGCAGCAGAGATAGTCTCTGAATTTGGCAATTGAACCCTGGTACATGATGCATCGAGATGCCAACTCGCTTGCGCCCTTACAATTATGCTGGCCTTGCTAAAACTATGCAACTGTTAACTCTTCCTCTGGCCTTTCAGGCAGTAAGTTGATCACATTTACTATAGATAGCATGTGTGGTTGCAAAGTAAATCTGATTTGAAAACTAGCACTATGTTAGAGTCTTCTCTCTCAGTCCCTCTTGTGTTGCATTGCTCTATGTAATTTCAAACAACAAGCCTGGCAACACGTCCTTGCTTATAAGGTGTCCTTACCACACCTTGAACACCTTTCTCTCTCAAATGAATACAATAAAATAGCCTTTTAACACACACGAGCGAGCTTTGGAACACTCTCCTATGTACCACTCGCTTCTTACAAAACTCATATCCCTATGGTATGCACCTTTCAGGCCGGTAAATAACTTCATTTCTATTTATAAGACCTCTTGTGGGTATAGTTTTTACCGCTAGTAGTATCATCTTGAATTTCTGCCTGCAGTTATACTAGCATCGCATAATGCTAGCACTCTTGTTACAGGTACAAATGGGGCTGCAGTACATGCAAATAAGATAAATAGAAGTGACTTTTAGTTAACAACGGTTTCTGAGATTAATTTTGCACTGGGAAACCACAACAGAAGAGCTGAACATGAATCACTCTAGCATGGCCAATGCCCATTCCCTGCCATTTTGCCTGCCATTTTGCAATTCTAATGGGACTGCTTATAGCTTGCTAGTTATTACACGAAAGGCTTATCTTAAACAGTACTAAAAAGCCTCATGCAGTGCATTTAGATGTAATAGCTTGTAAAAGCAGTAAATTAAGCTACAAGGCCAGGGCAGAAACTGCTAGCAAATGTAATCCACGGCTGTACCAGCTTACAAGTTAATCATTTGGTTGTTATTAAAGGGGCACTGACACCACTTTGCGGAGGTATGTTTACACTGCCATACAAATATCTAGTACGTATACACAGCCAGTGTGAGGGTTAGCTCATGCTGGTAAGATATTTTATTTTGATATTAAAAGTCAATTTTTCTGTGATGCACCTACTGACATTGACAATAGCTAGAGGTCCAGCTACAGTACAAATTCTGGTGACTTCAAACAGCAGTCTGGCTACTTGCCATGCCATGAGGCACCGAATCTAACGACGTAGGCACAAACTTAAAGTGATGACATAAGCGAAGCGATCGGCCAGCTTTCTTCAAAATGGATTGAGATATTGAACTTAGAAATGAAACACTAAAATATAGCCCTGCAAGTCTCTTGTACCACCTTGATAATTTTTTCTTTCTGTATTACAGTGCTGGAAGCCATTGTAGACTAGTAGTGCTATTTGACTTGCTAGCATGCGACTGCCTAACATTTAGTTTCGCTGTGACGTCAATGAACTAATACTATGCGCACACACGCTCACTTTAAAAACGGCAACTTTAAAAAGCGGTTTTATTGCATGCAACAAGGTTCAATTGCCAATGTTTCGTACCCAAATGTTCATTACGTAAACCTCAGCAAAGCTTCACAAATGCTGCCAAGAAAGAGAAAAAAATAAGCAAGTAGAGGGGAGTAACCAAAACAAAACCCAATAAGATGAAGACAGGAAAAAAAAAAAGATTGTGCTGAATGCATCATGGTCGTCAGCAGGAAAACTTGCTCAACATGTCTGGAAAAGGTATTTACTGAAGCTCATGGCTGGCAGTTGTGTCATCTACCATCCTTAAAAGTAGCTCAATTGATCTAATCTCATACTCTGGTGCTGCAATCACAAGTAACAAGCAACCACTTCCTCAAATTGAATAGACACATGCATTAAAAATGCGAGTTTTGCAGTGATGTAGAATTCCACCAGAAACGTATCTTTATACACAACCAACCTAAGCTGCGACCTCTAACTGATGACACTTTTCTGCTAAGCTACTAAATGAGAGTGCACGACTTAGCAAAACTGGTTGTAAGAGTACTAAGAGCTAGCATTGGTGGTTGACACGCCATAATCTGTAGTATCGCCAAAGCTTTGTTCTTAACATTTATTGAAATCCTTTCTTAATCTTGCAGTGATCACTGATGTAAGCAGTGATTCAACGCCTTCACGCTATATTTGCTCCGAGATTTAGGCCAATAAAGGTAGAAGACACAAACGCTCAAGGCCACCAGCCAAAGATTAGAGAAATTGTTCTCGTAGCACCTGAACATTTGGTCGACTAGCATACGAAAAGGATGGGAGTGGCGAGAAAGCTCGACATACGAATGCATTCAGCTTTCCTGGTACCACTATGAGGCATTCAGAAAAATGCTCAACACTGCACTGCAAGTAAAAACATAAAAAGCGAAAAGAATATGAGAGCCAGTAAATGAACCTGAAAACACCAACAGCAGATGCTCTCCGTTTAAGTGCAATGCTAGTTAAGAAGTTTTCCTGTCACAAAAGTATAGAGAAACTTGAAAAGGTTTAGGAGATTTCAAACATATCGATAAAAAAGAGCAGGTAATGGCACTGTAATAAAAGATACGAGTCAATGAACACTCATTCAGGTAGAGGCAGGGTGCATTTCTAGCACACTGTGACATTTGCTTCACAGTTGGGGAGTTGAGAGTTTTACACGTGAAACCATAGTAATGAGATCCTTATTCATTTTATGAGAATCAATCGTAAATGGCAGCTACCAGCACGGAATCATGAATGTCTTGATGGCAATGTATAGACGGGAATCGGTGTTTCTGATTAAGCTTGGCAAAGAGGTTATCGGTATCAGACGGGCAGAAATTGACATGCACAGGAGAAACAAGCAGAGTGCTCGTTTTTTACCTGTGACCTTGTTTAAAACAGTACCACCGGTACTGTAAGCATTTCGTATCGATTGCCATGGGCCTGTTAGAACAGCTAACATCTTATCATCTTTATCATAAATTGAATATGGCGTCGCAGAAACCGGCTGTGATGTTGTGCAGCAATATATCGGAATGTCTCAATTTACTCGAACATGCCTCACATTAAAGTGACACAATCTAAGCACCCAATACTTCAAGTCAAACTGGACAGCTGCCAACGTCACAGTGCACTAGAAGTCCCAATATGTCAACAAAATACAACTTCAAAAGAAGTGCAGCAAGTTGAATAAAGTCCCAATATGTCAACAAAATACAACTTCAAAAGAAGTGCAGCAAGTTGGAACAATCCCAAGAACTTAAGAATTGCTGGAGATATTATATTTACAATTGTTTTGACTGAAAAACTATGCGATTCAAGCAATGCAGCGAAATTTTTCTGCCACTGCAGAAAAACTTGGCGATTGCTTCATAAGTGCAACTTGCTGCTATAATTTGCACTGCATCTAATAGCAATATGCAGCAACGCACAAGATAACTTCTTCAAAGCAAGTTCCAAAAACTAGACAATATTTCTTTGCCAAAGATTCGCAAGTAATGATTAATCAACGTTCAGAATGATCTGGAAAGCATTCATCGTGCATACTGTGTCAAAACAGGCTGAAATCATTTTGGTGAACATACAGAATGTATGAAACATATTTATTAATTTTTTTTTTACTGCTCTGCCCCGAAGCCTGCTACAAAGCTCCAAGAAGTTATCATGCGTATTACTGTCAGACACTGAAAACAACAACAAAAAAGGAGCCCAACTTCCATAGGCATCACAGATCACCTCTGGTATTAATAAATATCCATTTGACAAATAAAATTTAATTTAGCAAGCGTATGTTCAGAATGGTTGGCACAACTGCCCGAGATATACCTAACCCTCGTATGACTCAATGGTGGGCTAGCCAAATCTGACTACTCATAATACACTCAAGCCTCGATACAACGAAGACGGATATAACAAAATATCGGTTATAACAAAGTGAACTGAAATATATACTTGCAATAAATGCAGTGTTAGGAATAACCTTCAAACGAGTTTTTGCATATAGAGAAGTTATTTTCTAGTAAGATGTGCAGGTTTGTTTTAATGAGGTTTGAGTATAATACCTGGGGTTTAACATCTCAAAACCACAATACGATTGCGAGAGACTCCACAGCGGACGGCTCCGGAAATTTCGACCATCTGGTGCTCGTTAATGTGCGCCGACATCGCACAGTACACGGGCCTCTAGTATTTCGCCACCATCGAAATGCGACCGCCACGGCCCAGGATCGAACCTGCTACTTGTGGGTCAGCAGCCGAGCACCGCGACCGCTGCATCACCGTAGAGGACAAATTCGACTACTTGGTAGACTAATTACAAAGCTAAGCTTATTTCTAGAGATTAAGGTTGAAATCATAGGTTTCTTAGAAGCTGGCAAATGAGGTGGACATACAAAATTTCGCTTGTGCAATATTGAATGTTTTAGGGTACTCTTTAGGCAGTTGTGCTGTGGTGATAGCTTTTCTGGATGATACTGAGAGGCACAGAAGTTGCTGTGCATTTCTGAGGCATACTTTACTTGTATTTTTGTTGCCGTACTGAAAGGTGGGCTCCGTTGCACACACACATTCTGCATGCTCGCGCCCATGTGAAATGCATCTCTGCCAGCTTACTTGTCATCCACACTTTATAAAGTACACACACACATAAAAAAAGCAATTTTGTGATGGAAACACCCGGAAAAACAAACTAGATTCAATGCCTTTCTCTCTCTCTTTTCATAAGGCCCCTTAAGAGACGGCAAAAACATGAATCAAACAGCACTGCATGGACACTGCAAACCTCTTTTAAGGGGTTGTTTGTGACACTCTCAAAGCTGGCAAAGTTTACATGTCACAAGAATGACAGAAGCATGCTTAGAAATTTAGAAAAAAAATTGTTTAGAAAAAACTTAGTAACAACTGCACAAATATGCAGATCGATACTGGTGAGCGAACTCACCTTCGAACCCCGTTCGTTGAAGATGATTTCAACATCAAGAATGGCACCAAATTGCTGCAATGAGATTGCAAACACTCAGTACACTTAACACTCACAATTATCATTACTTGTCACAATTATCTCTTATAAAAGAACTGGTGGAGACACTTTGGTCCCATGCATGAATAAAACTCCGTTGTTAATTACTTTAACTCTCTCTCTCTCTCTTTTTCAAAGCACATTGTTTAGAAGTTGTGCACCACTCCAGGGTCTGTTTAACACAAAGGATGCAAGGAGTGATGCTTTCTACATTTGCTCTAGACGAGCTCAAAGTTATGGTATATTTTATCTTGGACAAAACAGTAGTAGGCTGTACAATAATCACGACTGCCATATTATCTTCACTTGAAATAGAGCATTCATTACATCCCCACACCGTTTCAAAGGTTGCACAACACCCAATTTTGTCATAACCAGCCCTTTGTGGATTATTCCTTGTGCATTCAGAAACAAGCTGGCTTTGGTGTAATTGGTAAAACACTCTGCTTATATAATATTTTTCATAAACATGCGATTGCCTTAGGGTCTGGCAACACTGACACACTCTCAAGTCCTGACGCAACAAAGTGATCAGAGTTATTCCATCATATGAGTTGCGAAGCTTCCCATAGGCTGCATGTATCGAAATCCGGACACGTGATTGCCCTCACTCTCCCACCACATCGCGCCTCCTTTGATCCGCACACCTACTATTAAACGCATCGTGTTTTTGTGCTGCCACTCCCAGGTGGCGGGACGGTCAGCTAACTTCCGAAAATTTGGACCATCTGTGTGTTTGGATTTTGAAACACAGTTTCAGAACTGGTATAATTGAATAACTCTGACAAGCTCCTAGCTATGCAAGTGTCTGAATTCAAGTGAACGATTTTGTTCCGTGGTTGGCTATGCGTGCAATCGAGCTATTACATTTTTTTTTCAGCTTGGCATTGAAATTGAGTGTTTTGTAGTGACAGATACTTTGATAGAAGACGATGGATACGACCATGATGGCAAAATGATGGTAAAATGATGGCAAAATGATGGCAAAATGATGGCAACTACTAGGGCTAAGTTTGCACAGAAATATTCTTTTCTTTTACAATCCTTTATATATATATATATAGACTCTCTAGTTCGTTTTCGCTGAAAACTACAAACTGCTCCGTGACCTTGTCGTAGCCCTTTAAGTGGGCTCGGTTGTACATTCATATGCAGATGCATAATCTTGCACTATTGCTTTTCGGCCCAAAGAGTAAATGAACAAATAACTAAAGAAGGAAAGGCCACTCACGCCAAACAGTTGCCGCAGGTCGGGGTCTCGAAATCTGAAAGGGATGTTTGAGACGTGCAGCCGCTTGGGCTGGCCGTTCTTGGCTGCCTCCACGGCCGCCATGCCCGCCGCCGCCGCCGCTGCTGCCGCTGCAGCTCCGGCTCCGGCCGCCTGGGCACCAGTGAGTACCACTCCCGTGGCACCACCATTGGCATCGGGCTCCAGGTCAGTTTGCTGTTAAATGGCAGAAGAGAAAGAGAAACAGAACACATGCACGTGACAGTTAGAGTGACACATGCTCTGTTGCAGTAATGAGGACAGCACGCTCCACAGCACATATACCACTTTTCAAAAAGGAAACCGAGGCCGTGTATGTGCAAGGGTAGGCTGACTCTTCTATTGGGTCGTCATCATGGTCATCAGCCTCGACTACGTCCACTGCAGGACAAAGGACTCTCCCATGTTCCGCCCGTTAACCCGGTCCTGTGTGTCCCGGTCCTTCTATTGGGTCATAGTGCATTAAAATTACTGCTAAGGTGCAATTTTGTAGGCCTTCTGGGACAGAATGTGCTACCACGCGCCACAGGATTGGTGGAGGCACGTCTGACAGTTGGATGTGCCTCCAACTGTCAGATGGCATTTAGAAAGGGAAGCGCAGCCGACGGCATTTGGAAAGGGAAGCGCTGTCAATGATTTTGTCGTCTGCCAGGCAAAGAATGAGCACAGAACGAATAGTCACGTTGTTTTGTCTGACAGAACGGATAAAAAAGGTCTGTGGAAGTCTTGGATTGGATTTAAATGACAGCACGCGTGCTAGAGAAGCGAATTAGCCTGCTTTGTGTATGGCTTCATTCAATCCCATGCCGGCAGCTCGCAGGAATGGCAACCAACACCCTCACCAATAATCTCGTGAATTCGCGACGCAGCCTAATGCCCAAAACCATGAGCAGAAAAATTGCTTTCACACGCTCTTCCCTTTCAATCTTTCGTAAACAATGCCACCAATACTAATATTCCATTATAATAAGTTATAATACCTCTACATTCATTCATGCAATAAAAACATTTTTGAACTTTCTTGGCAGACTATGACAATGTGACCGATTCTTTAAGGACTTGCCCTTCATCTATTGGCCGTCTACTCTTTTTCTTTCTCTAGTGACATAGCATTCCACTTTATCCCAGAACGCGTCTATGATTTAGCCTCTAGAATAACTGCATTACGACACAGACAGATTCCAGATTTTGCTGGCTTCATAACCCGCTCGCTTCCTGTGGGTGTTAAAAAAGAAAGAGTGGATGTTGCCTGATGGGCAAGGCAGCAGTGACAACAAAGTACTGCCATTTCATCCTAGCCTGGAGTAAAAGGAGAAAATGAAGCTACTGTTCACAGGATGTGTTGACTGGTCATTTAGAAGGCTACATTGTTAAGTGTGAACAAACAGTTACGAAGAAATTATTACAAGAACAAGGAAGGGAGAGCTTCCCCTACAAGCCACCTGTCCCTAACGGCCACAGCTTGTGAGCCCTGTCAAAAAGCATGCACTTTCTTCCTTATGTGCTACGTAAGCATCCAGCTGCCTCTTCTCCGCATCGTCTAGGGAGCCTTAGTTAGCTGTTGCCTTGGCTCATAAATCTTTGCGACGTCATCCAATATGCTGCAACGAGTGGCAGCTTGATGCCAAACCCTCTCTGCATAGTGTGTTTGAGGTTTGCAGTGGTTTAGTTAAGGGAACACTAAAGTGAAACATCAGAACAGTTATGAAAAATATGTTTTTTCACCACTATATGGCCATTATTTCTCCATGTTGGGATAATTATTACGAGAGTAAATGAAGGACTAACTTTCATTTTCAAAATGTGCACTGAAAATTCGGCATGCTAATGTCAGCATGACATCATGGATTAAGTCTTTTTGCCAATTTTGGCCAAATTTATTTGACAAAATTTCATGGAACTCACTGCATTGACTTTGGGTCCTTTGGAACACAATGTAAACATTGTTTACCAATAAAGGATTACCTAGATGCCCTACCTTCCATATGTCATCAAAACCTGTAATGTCATGACAAGCTAGTGCAGTAACTTTATCATTACAGTGACACATGTATTTCTTTTTTTTTTTGCATATTTTCTCGTGGTAAGTCTTGCTTCTGGTTCTGTTAAAATGTAATTACTAATAGGAAAAAATTTTTTTTGCTCTTCAGTGCCAATTTAAATAAATATGCAACTGCAACTTTTACAAAGCTTTACAGCAAAGAGAGCACAACAATAAATGGCTCTGAAATAAATGCTCCTTATGAGCACAGGTTTCCTAAAATTACACAAAAGAGCAGAATATACACCATAAAAGCTGCAAACTAAATGAAACAGGCCTTTGAGTTTCACTAAAAGCCAAGAGAATCCCACTAGGTGCTGCTGAAGACTAAAGGGTAGAGAGTAAAGCTGATAATTGACTTTCAATGGCAGTAAAACGTCTCGAAAAGCTTTTCCACACGTATGCTTTTCATCAGCTCGATTAAAGAAAACCTCTCAAATATTTTGTAGCTTTTTATTTTAACACCTTCTGTATTACTGGAGCGTGTGCAGTATTCAATAAAAAGATGAATGCAGAAAGAATTGCAAACATTACGGCACGAAAACTGTAGTTACTAGTTCTTCAAATTCAAAATTCAGGCAGAAAAAAAAAAAGGGGGGGGGGGGGGGCCCTTTTCTGTGTCTTTCGCATTACACTGCCAATAACACCACTGGTTGCTTCCTATCACAAACACATATATAGATATATATCAAAGTCTCTCCTCATAGTGGCCATTGCACAGTGTACTGCAACTGGCTTCAAAAAAGATGTAAAAACAAATACTGTCATATTTATCAAAATATAGATAAGGTTTTTGTGTTTCCAGTTGCACAGCACTGTGGCCTAGCGGTGGCCACGCGAATGCAATTTGCGAGCTTGATAAGCCAATCAGAGTGCAGCGCCATAGGCATCACTGTCACATGACCAAATGTCGCGTCTGATCACAAAAATTACCACTGTTTGCCTCTGTAGTTTGAGCAGAAGGCGGTTTCTTCACTAATATCAAATCAGAAGACTTAGTTTTCTGCGACCATACTTGCGCTGCAGTATCACTGAAATCCACAGTACGGGAAGGGTTGGCAATGAGCGTAAACGCCAAGACTTTAGACAAAAATTTCATCATTCTATATTCAAGTATGTTTATAACAAACACGCAGAAATTCGCAAGTGCGCTATCGTGTTTCCAGTAATATTACGCGATTCACATGGAACCATTTCACGATTTCGAAAATCCCCGCTAAGAAGAGGGAAACTTCCAAATAATGAAACAAATATATAGTGATGGCAACATGATGTGTAGTGGTGAAGTGGTGGCATCAGCGGAACCAATGTACGATCCGCTATATTTCACACATGCGAGACAGCTTTGTGGTCATCATAATTCTCACTGCCGTAGCAAGTGTACCGCGACAGCCCTTGCAGGTATCAGTATTTCACAAGTATGACAGATCTGTAAACATCCTCGATTTCATACAAGCGATCTTATAATGTCTGACATAGCATCATCTACATTTGTGATGTTTTGAAAGACATCGAAATTAAGTTATGTCATTAGCACCACTTAAGTCTGATGCTACTGCTTTTGAATATACATCAAGAAACGAGTTGAGCACGTTTCTGCTAGCTGCTACATACAAAGCTATCAAACCTGAAGCAAGCATAATGTTAAATAATGCTCGCCAACTCTTTCTTTTTTTGGTTTAGGGCCGCTTGAAACCACTTGAAGCAAACACAACCAATATAAGTTGAAGATATCAGTCCTTTTGTCTGCGAGCATCAAAAGCATGTGTGAAAGTCACTTTGCATTCATGCAATATCTCAACTATCAAGCACCAAAATATTGGCACACGTGCCAAGCAAAATATATACAGCTTTTGACCGTTTCCCATGAAACAAGCCCACGCACAAATACACTTCATTGCCCCCATCACAGCTGCAGCCGACTACATAGTTCGCACTGACGTCACCTTGGCCGCCATCTTAAAGCTCCCAGCTGGTTGAGATGCGGGGTGAGCTCAAACGGTGATACCAAATTAGTGCCGGTACCTCTGGCGTTCTCTTGTGCCCCCAACACGCCTCGCAAACAGGAGAAAGTGAGGTGAACACAAAAGAACACCAGGAAGGACTCTGTGTCCTCTTCTGCAGTGCCACTCTCTAGTAAGATAAAGAGTCATGGTTGCCGCCATCTTATGGTACCCAGTGCAGAGAACCTGTCTTTGACGTCACGTGCATACTATGTATAGACAGTACGCTGCAGCAGCACACACTAAAGACTAGTCCCCAATTGGCAACTTTTATTGCTGCAAATGTAGTGTGCCGGGTCATCCATGCTGAAGGTGGAGCCTTCATTAGTATTCAATAGCTCATTTAAGCTGATATTTATTGCATAATTGGGAAAATTAGTATTCTGTTCATAGACACCATGAGCAGATGCCATATTACGGACATTTCACTTGTTTAGTAGAATAAACATTTTAGTTCTACTGGCTTGAATACTAATGAAGGGTTTATCCGAGATTAAGTCGATTCTGTACAACAGCTAGCACAAAATGCCAAACTACAAAATCTGTGTATCCAGAAGACACACAATGCGAACTACAAAGAATGGGTCCCCAACATGCGCACATCTGGTGTCCCCTTGAGTTGTAATGAGGGTTAGAGGTGTTTGAACAGTTACCGCAATAACACATCAAGAGTAAAGCCTGGGGACAGTGACATTTCATTACCTCCAGGCCCGAGTCACAACTCAGTCTGCACCAGAAAGTAGTTGACAAATGCAACAAAATACGACAGCTCGTTTGAGTGTGGTGCTCACCAATACAGCAATATTATTCTTACTCTCACAAAGATTTTGAGCTCCTGCATTCCGTTTCGAGCAGAAAGAATTGAAGATTATTGAACATTAGGAAATATCGGTACAACATGCTCCGCTCCATTTAGTAGTTTTTTTGCTGGCTTGCCTTTTTCTTCTTTTGCTGAAAAGTTTTTTGACCAAACCATATACAATTTAAGGTAGGTCTGTGTTTTGCGAGTGACTGCAACTTAAAAAAATCTAGGGTATCTTTCTCCTTTTTAGACACAATGCAATGTGCACCCACTCTTTCAAGCTCTCATACGATGTTATAGCATTTCTCAGGACCCAAATAAATTTCTGTGT